CATGAGCCTTTGCCTACTCTGTGGGGCTGTTTTGCCCCCTCCGGTGCTTCCTTTGGCGGCGGCGGTGGCTGCTGCTCAAGGGATGTCCCTGTTTGCCTCTTCATCTTCTCTAGCCTTAAGTGTGGCTACTCAGTGCTCCAGTCCCTCTCTGCAGCGCTCCCCGTCTATGCGCTGCTGTTCTCAGGCATGAAGATAAACATTGCCTTCCCCCGGCCTCCCCCCCCCCGGATCTCCTTTTAGCTCTCCCTGTTTGCTCCCTCTTGTTGCTTGCTCTTTGGGGTCTGGCATGGTTTTATTCCTTGCTTGTGCTCTGTTAAGAGTCAGGAGAGAGTAATATACATAGAGTTACAGAGAAGGAGCGCCTATGTTTCCTGGGGTATCAAGGGATTTTAAAGGCACGTGGGGACTTTGGAGTCTGAGTCACTTATCAGAATGGCAAACGAAAAAAGGAAAAATGAAAAAAAAAATGTAGCCAAGACTGCATTTGTGGCATCTGATATATTTATTCCAGTGTGAGTGGGCGGGTGGTTGCTTCTTTTGCAGAATCATAGAGTCCTAGAATAATTGAGTTGGAAGGAGCCTCAAAGGACATCGAGTCTAACCTTCTTAAGGCAGGAATATAAATCAAAGGAGATCTGCCAGGTGGTTGTCTAAATTTCTCTCAAATGCCTCCAGTATTGGAGCACTGACCACCTCCCTCTGAGGTCATGGGTTCCCTTATCGTACTGCTCTAACAGTTACGATGTTTTTCCTGATATTCAGCCTAAATCTGGCTTCCTTTAACTTGAGTCCATGGTCGCCTGTCTTGCACTCCGGGAGGATGGAGAACAGATCCTGCCCCTCCTCTGGAGGACAGCCTTTCAAGGATTTGAAAAGGGCTCTCCTCTCTCCCCTCGGCCTTCTTTCCTCAGGGCTAAACAGGCCCAGTTCTTTCAGCCTTTCCTCCTCAAAGGGCTTGGTTTCCAGCCCCCTTATCATCATCCTCGCTGCCCTCCTTTGAACTTGTTCCAGTTGGTCAGCATCCTTCTTCAAGTGCAGTGTCCGGAACTGGGCCCAGGACTCTAGATGAGACCTAGCCAGTGTCAGGTGATCCCTATTAAATTTCATGTCAGTCTGCTGTTTTGAGCCCAGTGCTCAAGTCAGTCAAGATCTTTTTGAAATTCTTTCTTTTCTTCCAAGGTATTCGGTATTCCACCCAGTGTTGTGTCGCCTGTAAATTTGAAGAAATGGACCATAGTCACAACGCTCCCACATAAATAGCTGTGTTTGTCTTACAACTGCTGTAAGCGTTTGTCTCAGCTTTTGTTTCTATTCCTGTCAGACCTGCTGAAACAGAAGACAGGCTACGGTGGTGGCGGTCTCTTGGGAAACCACGGACGGTTGGCTTTTAAATGTCCATCCTCTATTCTCTACTGTTTACATTGTGGACAGGAGTCAGGGCTGCCTGTCCGAGAAGGCCAAGCTCTACAAATGAGCCTCCCGCTTTATGAGAAACATAAAGACCAAAGAGAGGTCATCCCAAGTGAGACACAGCAGCCCGAATAAGGAAGAATAAGAGTAAATCCACCGCACCAGGAAAGGCACCCTTGAAGAACTAGGAGGGATGTAGCTTGGGGCCAGGGAGGCTTTAGGTGGGGGGGGGAGCTGGGTTCCGTCACCCCCTGCCCTCTGCTCCAGCCCTCTCGTCTTCTGCATTCCCGAGGAGAACAGCTGAACTGGCAGGAATAAGAGTCGAAATCATTTGGCAGGTGAAGAAAGAAGCCCTGAGAAAAATATTTGGGGAGGGCCGGGTTGAAGGACGACCTGCTGTCTAGGCCCCAGGGAGAGCTTTCTCAGGAAAGGAGTCTGGCCTTTTTTGCAGCAGCATCAGCATCAGCATCAGCAGCCTGCTCAGCCTCTCCAAATGAGCTTCCCCAGAGGAGAACCTGGAGGGAAGTCTGAGCAGCTGCAGCTTAAATGTGTGCGTGGGAGGGGGGGAGTGGTTTGCTGGGAATGAGCAGCATTCCTTGGAAATAACAGAAAGTCTAGGTATGCGTAATTATCCTGCTCTTTTGCACTGGCCGTGCCTTTCACAAGATAGTGCTCTTGAAACAGTATTTCCAAAAGGCTTGAGCCCTGCCTAGCTTTCTTCCAGCAGAGGGCAGGTCCTGTCCAGGTTGGAATGTGAAAAGGTTGATAAGACAGAAAGCAGAGAAAGCAGCCAGGTGGGTTGACACAGCTCGCCATCTTGTTTTCCACTCTGCTTTTCCGCACATCGCTTTTCACAGCTCCCGACAACAAGGCGAGGGGGGCTTAGCCAAAGTACTGTGGCCATTTCATAGAAGCGAGTCTGAAGTCAAGGGGAATTTGCATAGGCTGGGCTTCTGCTTCACCGCACGGCTTTAAAAGAGAGTGAGAGAGAAAACACCCAAGTTACAGTCATTGTCTTTTCAGGGGGAAAATGGCAGAAACATTCTTGAATACCTGCTCTCTGTATGCCACCAGCAAAGAGGGGCAGTAGAGGGGCTGTGGGAAGATTCACACAATCACCCCGTTGTTGCCCAACCCCCAGGCGGTCGGTCACAAACCTCTCCTGATGTATAAACAAGAACCACAAAATAAAACGAAGCAGAGAAAGAGAGAAGGCAACAATCCAGTTGTATCTCAGAGGCTCACATCTACGGCATATTTTAATGGAAGGCTTCGTGGACCAAGTCCACTTCCCCAGACGTCAGAGCAAGACTGTAAGAGACTCCATGGCAAAACCTTCATGCAAGGATGTCAGATAAGGAGGCAGCGGTGGGTTAGTAGACTCAAGATGCAAACTGTGTGAGTCAATGTGGCTTTTCACACGCATGGGATGACTTAAGAGCCCATTTTGTTATTCAGTTCTTTTCTTTTTGGCCTTTGTGTTCTCTAAATGGCAACCATGGTGCTCTGGACAGTTTACAGTAAATATTAAAACTAGGCAACTGTGCAACTGGAAGCCCACGACAATATAAAACCAGCAAAGCTAGTAATTAGTGTAGAGGATCTACAAGGGAGAAAGAGATCTGAAGACAGAAAAGTCAAGGGGAATAATAAGCAGGCCTTCGCAGATGTTGAAAGAGAGTCTCCTGTAGGAACCGGGCAAGCTGTTCTACATCCAGGTTGCCAATCCTGAAAAGCATCCATGAGGTTCTTCCCCCATCCCAGGCGTGAGGGACCCTTCCTTTGAAAAATTCAAGTGCCACTTCAGTGTGAACACCCCAGCTCTATCACGAGCAAAGGGGCCTCTACAGAGCTGTGGGAAAACTCAAGACTACGATTCTATTAACTCACTGGTTGTTCCATATAAGCTGGGTTTCCTTTTGCCACTAACTTTTGTTGTTGAGCAGTATTGTAAACAGACAAATAAAAATAAATGTAGGCCTGGCCTATTCCAAAGGAGGGAAACTGTCTTGAATAGGCTTGCCTTCTTCCCTACCTCTGGTGTCTTGACAAGCCTGCCATGCCCATGCAGGGTACCCAAGACCTGGTGCCCTCGAGAGGTGTCCCCTTTTTCCTTCCTTCACTACCAGGCAGAAGGGCCCGTTGGGTAGGGTGGCTGTACAATTTCAGGTGAAAATCCTGGGGGTAAAATCAGAGTTTGGAGAGTTCCAGGAAAGTTGGACTGGGGCAGGGAGGCAGGGCACCAATACGTATTTCCTTTAAAAGGGGAACAGTTGAGGAGCAATCTAGTTTTCTGCTTCCGGGGCCTCCCTTAGCAGAGTCCTTTGTACAAATCTGATTGGGAATGTTTTTGAAAATTCAACATAGCAATCTTTTGGCACTCGAGGGGACACTGAGCTCCATCCTCTCCAATCCCTGTCCAACAGATTTTCTTCAAAACCAAGATACTGTGAGGGACTTAATGACTTAGGGCAGATGAACATCTACCACTCTGGTTGAACTTCCCTGTGTAACCCTGAAAGACCCTCTAGATCTTCATGCTGAAAGATCGCATTGCCACCCCTTGCCCCACAAAACCCCATGTTGGGGCCGCCAGGCTGTGGTTTCTCCATCTTCAGGGCTTGAAAAAAGCACTCATCCACTCGTCTGTGACGAGTGAAAAATGCTGATGGACAAATCACAGCTCCCTGCCTGCCTGCCTCCTTCCCCTCCATCTGTCTGTCTGTCTCTCTCTAATCCTGCAGTCCTCCCCTCCCCCCTCCCATTGCAAAAAGAAAACAGCCCTCTTCTTGTGAGAATCAAGTTTAAGCAGCACATTGAGATATAGCTCTGCAGGAGAAGGAAGAGTAGTCCCATGCTGGAGAATATGGAGATTCCCTGCTCCCAATTTCAACCGAACAAGGGCACATCCTGGGGTGGGAGGGAACCGTGGCTCCTTAAGAGGCCGGGTGCTTTTGCTTTCAGTTTTATTTTTGCTGGAGACATTCAAAAGAAAAACATTCTAAATACAAGCTTCATGACCCCACAGGCATGCAGGTAATAAAGCAACTCAAGTCTGAGGTTATAAATCAGTGAGTTCCAGTCCCAATAAATTGCAAGGCTATAGTCCGGTCATGCTGACTGGTGACATTTTTTACTGACTGGTGAGCCATTCTAAAAGCCCTGTCCATCTTTTGCCAGAAGGTTTGTGTTCAGTCAGAGAAGAATAGTTGACTTTCCTAACTCAGTGGCTGGGTGTGTGTGTGTGTAATCTGTAAAAAGAGAAGTGAAGTGTGCTTTTTCCTCTGTAATTGTTGTGGACCCTAAACTGGCAAGGCCCTTCGGGTGAAGAGAAACCTGGATTACTCTACGCTGGGCCTTGCCTGTACCCGAGATGGCCACAGGAAGACTGGGCAGCTGGGCTGGTGGTGGCATGGGGCCAGCAGGGGTGGGGTGGGAGGAAGACCCTTCTCTTCGACATGGGGGGGTTGTGGTTCTCACGTTGGCAGCTGTGTCTCCCCTGCTCGGTCGTCTTCTTCTGTGTCAAATCGTGCTGGTTGATCTGCGGTGTTAATGCCGGTCTCTGTGTTTAATTCTTTCTGAAAAAACAGAAGTCGCCTGCCAAGAAGCTGAGCCATGCCATTAGTAAATCTCTTGGTTGTGTACCCACTAGAGAGCCTCCTCACCCTGTCTACCCGGAACAGCCCGAGAAGCCCCTTGACCTTGCTCATATCGTGTGAGTATCGCTTTCTCTCCTCCTTTGGGGTTCTTTTCACTTCCGTTGGCCTCTTTTTAGCTGGGGGTGTCTCGGTGGCCAGGGTGATGATCTCTGACGCCTTCTTTCCCCTTTTTCTTCATGTACATGGTGTGCTTGCTTGTTAGAGAAGCCAGGGGGAAATGAAGCGAGGCCGTATAGTCTCTGCCTGAGGAAGCACGTAAGAACAAGGCTGCGATCTGCATCCAAATGCAGTCAGCTGCTGGGCCCAGTGGGCTCTGTGGCGGTTGCCTCTGGGCTTCCTCCCAGAAGGCATCAAGGGTTGATGGAGGACTGACTGGCCGTGTTGCTTCTCTGTGTTGACGCCGGGGTTGGCCTCGGCTGGAAGCTGAGCACCCAACGGGTCTGCCTTCCCAAGGGCTGGTTTCGGTGGGAGGGTTGGCCTTTCCAGCTTCCCTTTCAGAGCATTTGGCGAGTGGCTCCCCAGGAGGAGGATGCACCAATATCCGACAGCGGCGCCACTTTTTCAGGGCTTTCTGTGGAAACACAATCTCCCGTGCTATGGACTGTTTTCTGGAATGTTATGTAGGTGCTAATTATTTAACATTTTTAGCTGGCAGCGACTCTGTGTGTGTGTGTGTTGCATGTGTGTCTGTTGCATATGTGTCCAGGTTGTTGCCTTCTGTGTTAAGTCACAGAGGTCTATCTGCTGTGTCAATGCCAGTGGCCAGCCAGATGGCCAGAGGAGAAGCCAGAAGCAGGACATGGTGGACCTGTTGCCACCAATCCCCCATTTTAATGCCATCCAGTTTATCGGTTGGCACAACAGGTAGTGATATTGAATTCTGCAGCCTGACTCTTCAGCTGTGTGACGGAGTCCTTCCCTTCATCTGCTCGGGAGCTCCCGTGATGCATTTCCTGGGTTCTGGTGTTACGGAAGAAGGAGCACAGGCTCCTCCTCCCCCCCCCACCTGCTCTGGGCTGCGCTTGCCCCCTGACTTTCCTTTGTCCCAACCAAGCCACCTCCATTGTGGTCAGCCTTGCTCGGAGGACTCTTGCTGTGGCCTTTTGGTCGTTTGGGCCACCTTCACCTTCACCTTCTCCTTCTCCTTTCCCGCTCTCGAAGGAGGCAGGATCCCTGGACTTGGGCAGCATGTACTAGGCACACCACAGATTTCTACACAGCTGTCGGCTTGATTACAAGTTTCATTTTGGATTCCTTTCCTGAAGATTCTCCAACACCAGAAGCTGCCTTTTCTGCCACAGCTCCTCTTCGCCACAAGCCAGGATCCCATGTCTGGTCAGCCACCCTGACCCGGGCACCATCACCATGTGCATGAAGCTGGGAGGTTCTGTCCCAAAGTGCAGCGTTTCTCCCCAAAAGGACCCAAGGTGGCTTAAATTGATCTTGTCCACAGACTTGGCCACACCTCGTGTGGCAACCCTAATTCTAGACCATTTATGGACTAGGTACGAAGTGCAGAAATGTCAGTGCATCCCCAAGAAGGACCCCACTGGCCACCTCTTTCTATTTCACCTTTCACTTGTCTCCATTTACGGCGACTGTCTGCTTTCCGTTCTTTAACAGGCTTTCAGTCCAAATGAGAAATTCTCTTATTCATGACTGTTAATTTTCCAAGGAGTCTTTAGTGAGAACTTTTATCAAATGCACTTTGGAAACCCAAGTAAAAAATGGCAACAGGATCATCCTACCCACTCTTGTGAATGTTAAAGAATCTTAGTGGGACAGGAGATGAAGCCATGCTGGTTCTCCTTCAGCAAGACTCGTTGTTCTGTATACGTCTCTATGCTTGACAATTCTGTCTTTCCTAAAACCCTCCAACAATTTAACTTCAACAGGTAAAGGATGTAGTTTCCATTTTTAAAAATTGAGATTATTTTGCCTTTAAAAAAAATCGAATACTGATCTTGGAGGCATGTTACATATTCTTGTGAGAAAATCAGTCTCACACCTAAGTTCTTTAAGAATTCTTGGATGGATACCATCTGGACTCAGGGTCTGCTTGCTTTCCTTTTATTAATAAGATCTGGAACATAAGCTTTTCTTCCCACTGTTTGACTCAGTTCTTCACAGTCCCTTTTCTGAAAATATCAGTTCAGACCCTAAAACCCCTGCATTTATGATAACCTGCAGGCATGGATTTCTGGAACAGTTCCTGGACTAGAGTTTCAGGGCAAAAAAAGCCTGGCTTCTCGGGGCAATGCGTTCCAAAGCCTGGGAGCATCCACCGAGAAGGCCCTGCCCCGTGTCCTCTCCAGGAGGGGAGTTTGGGGAGGTGGTGGAAGCCAGAGAAGGGCCTCCCCAGACGATCCTGAAAGACAAGAAGGCTCATATGGGGTGATAGCAACCCTTGAAATAGCCATTTTGCTTCTTAAACCTTTGTTGCTGCCTCTGGTCTAGATGGGCGGGATAGAAATCCAATAAATAAATAAATAAATTGCTTGGATGTAATAGATCTGAATAACGTGATAGGGTTAAGAGTGCCTCTCCCCCATTAAATTAGGCAACATTGCTAGATGGATTGCTCTCCTTTCATGTTAACCTGCTCTTTTCTTCCTGCTGACACGTTCACATGGCAGAATGTCAGCTGCTCTCTCAGATCAAGGACATCCATGAAACCTGCGTGGCTTCTGGCCTCCCCCCCCCCACGCTCCCCTCCCCCTCTGCCCTGTACCTGTCTCCTACTGGGAAGAAAGAAAGAAAGTCCCATGAAGGTCGGTGGGAATTGGTAGCAGGTAGATGGACACCAAACCACCCCCATCTTGGTCCCCTTGGGGCAGGGCATCAAAGAGAGCAGCCTACTAGACGGTCGGTGGGTGGCGTGTTTTAACACAGAGAGAACATTGCTTTCTGATTAAAGTGAGTATAGAAATTTAATTATCATTCAGTGTATTTTGGCACATCAGACACATTATTAAATCTAGACCTTCACCACGGTCATCCCTTAAGTACATTCCTGTTTTGGAAAAAAAAAGTCCCAGATGCTTATCTTTATTAAAGAGCTTTCAACATTAATTCTGGGGAAGATGAAATATGGGACAAGGAGGGGCTATTTGGCATTCAAAGCGAAAGGCGTGCTCCAGATTGCGCCGATTCCTGCTGCTGGTCGGGACTGTTTGTAGTGGGGATGTGGGAAAAGCCGTCCACTCACGAGGAGATGCCTCCCTCGTGACAGGGCGCTTCATTCTACAACTGGGGATCAGGATCCGTTTGTATCTGTTCAATGATGATAACACAAAGCAAACGGTAATGGATGGCGGCGGGTCGGTGCCCGGTGTAAGATGCTGCCCGAAGCTGCTTTTGCCGGGAGAAAAGGGGCATCTCATCACACAGCCATCAGGGAGGGAGAGAAGGATGGAAGGACGGACGGAGTTTCCTTGTGAATAAAGACAAGGCATGAAGCTTGGGAGGATCATACTGGCAACGATGCCGGTTCCACAATCCAATATGTGCTTGTATACAATCTTTCTACCTACAGAATATCCAAACTAACAAACAATTCCAACTACTGATTTATAATAATAATAATAATAATAATAATAATAATAATAATAATAATAATAATAATAATAATAATAATATGGTGTCTTGACTTACAAACACAACCTACGAACATTTTGAGTTACGAACAGCTCCGTTCACAAAATTTTGCTTTGACTTGCGAATGTACCTTTGACTTATGAACAAAAAAACCCACAGGGAAAGCAGGAAACAGACTTTGGACTGCCTGGTACTGTAATTTTAAAATGTAAAAATTGGTTTAAAAGATGCTTGGTTTGGTTTAAAGCTGCTTGGTTTTAAAGGTGTTCTGTTTAAAAGGTGTTAGTTCCCTCCCTCCTTTCCTGCTCTTTTTTTTAACCCAAGTTATCTTAGGTTAAAAAATATATCTCCCCCTAGTGGTAGAGGATGGATTAACCGGTTTTGCATTAGTTCCTATGGGAACTACTACTTCGAGTTACAAACCGAGCCTCGACATAAGAGCAAAAAAAAACCCAGCCGTAATGGATTAATCGGGTTTCAGTGCATTCCTATGGGAAATGCTGATTTGACTTATGAATGTTTTGACTTACAAACATCTTCTGGGACGGATTAAGTTCGTAAGTCAAGGCACCACTGTAGAAATAAAATTACGCATCAGCCACGACAGCAGAGGCAACAACAAAAAAGAGCCAAGGGGGTTGCAAACCAAGAAGTGCTGTAGCTGCAGGTAGACCAGCGAGTGTCAGAAATGTCTGATGTTCAAGCTAGATTTTGCAAAAGAAGAGGCGCTCAAGATCATATTGCAAATTTGATTGGCTGTTGGAAAGCACCAAAGGATTTCGGAAGAAGATTAGTTTGACTGGCTGTTGGAGAGCACCAAAGGATTTCGGAAGAAGATTAGTCTGTTTGTTTGTTTGTTTGTTAAAAATATTTTTATCCTGCCATTCTCCTTGAAAAGGACCCAAGATGGCTTACATTATTAAAAGTCACAGAGAGAAGCTGACAGCAGCGAACAGGAATCTTTCAGCACCACCTTCCGAATTCTCTCCTTCAAGAAGGAACTGGAGCCCCCGTAAAACAGTGCCTCCAAGTCCCATCTCAGAGAGAAAGGCCAGAAGGATACAGTGGGGGTGATCTCAAAAGCCACTGAGACGTCCAGCAGAACCAAGACGAACGCGCTCCCCTTGTCCAGTTCCCAGTGTAGGTCACCTACCAAGATGACCCGAGCAGTCTCTGTCCCGTAACCAGGCCTGAAGCCAGATTGAAATGGATCTAGATAATCCGTCTCGTCCAGGAAGCCCTGGAGTTGAGAAGCCACAAGAGGAACAGGGATAAGCGCCCTTGAGGTCGGGAGTGATGTTGTTGGGGCCTGTGAGCGTGTTGCCAGAGTAAATATGGGGGCATGGCTGGCATCTGGGTTAGCAGCAGGCTTTAGTCCCCACCACTCCATCCATTTTTTGTAAGTTGTTGTGTGTCAATAGTTGTTTGAGATTGGTGTGTGTGTGTGTGTGTGTGTCCA